ACTATGATAATCAATAAACTTTTTGGCATTCTTGATATTTTAGTCACTTTGTAACACATAAACTTGACAGAGCAATTTAATGTGGGCCAAATTCCTTTTTCTGATCTCTTAAAAACTGGAAGTCCCTCCCGTGGTTAAGTATATCTTACATCCCTCAATCATTCCCACAGAATGTATCAGTCTCGTTACAGATCTTGTCTTCCAATCAGGTTCTGAATGAGAAGGACTCTGCAGCCTTCCACTGTATGCCCTCAGCTTGATAAGAGTAATAATGGTCTGGACATATCATAAGCAAACACTCCTAGATACTGTGACTCCATAAGTAGCTCACGAGTGGTGCAGTATTTGAAAAAGAGATTGAGGAAAATGACAATCTGAAGAGTAGACTTCACCTCTTTACACTAACTTGATCGTTGATGGGTTCTTTGCAGAAACTCTGAACATCACTTGAGTCTCATTGACTATATTGAGGTTGTTGATAGTATCTTGGGACTGTAGTACTATTTCAAGATCACAACACATCCATTAAGCTCACTTATTACATTTTACCTCTCCGGTTCTATGGGAAAAATGATTTCTTGACCTTAAAACTCTAAGAAATAACAAACAAACAAACAAAAATATTGCCACCTTATACTCTTTTATTGAATACAGAAATCCTGGAAGATGGACCATAGTTTTCACCCTGGTAAGTCAGAAGCCTAAGAAAATTCCTGAATGTAAGGAAAATGAGGCTCTTTTTTCTTCAATACCTGAGCACTTTAATGTGGGCCTATCAAAAAGATGGAAAAAAAACTCAAAGCCTTTTCAACTGCTTAAGTATTGACATGGTAATTATCCCAGTGAAAGAGAGAGAGAGAGAGAAGCAGCCCCCTGTTCCTTGAGAGTCTTGTGCTGTTAACACTTTGCTAGCTGCCTTTGCATACATTATCCCGTCCAGCCCTTTCCACTGTCCTTAGAGGTTATCTCCAGGATTACATGAACTCCATTTCACAGACGAGGGAACAGATTTTCTGAATATTTGCATAATTTTTCCCAAGATGACATACTAGATAATTTAGAGTGCGGATGTTAGATCTCTTTGTCAGACTTCCGAGGAGGTTGTCTTTCTGTTATACCTTTGCTATGAAGACTGCAAAGGTGTTGGTAAGTACGTGATATAACTTAACGTTAATTATCCTTAACTTTCTTATCCATTAGTACCACACTGTCTCCAATCCAGTGAGATTTGGAATTAAATCCTGATACAGGCCCCAAATCCAATGTCTGGGCTTCCTCTATGAAGCCCACGTTATCTCTCATTATCTTCCAGGCTAGGTACCAGTGCCCACAAAGACAGCAATAAGAATGGGCACAGTTCTCTAAATGAAGCAATCATTTTCTCCATGTTGGTCTAGTCTGCAGCACTGGATTTCTGACTGACTCACTCTATCTGACTTCTGAGGGATTGCCTGGTCAGTCTAAGACTACAGTCTGCCTACCATGAACTTCTGCCCATAACCTAGTACCCTGAGACAGTAGAATCTGCCTCTTCTGGGCACCAGATCCTTCTCCCAGTGGCCTGGCCAGGTTCCTCAGCCAGCATTCCTCCAGTCCTGACTCACTGCTCATCTTTGGAGTTCCAGCAGTTCTACAAATCAGAGGTTCCAAAAAAAGGCCTATGGACTTCAGACAGGTAGTATAAATGAATGAAGCTGGACAGAAAATCTGAGGTGAACTAGAGCACAACCCCTGGGTCTAAGGGTCTGGAGGGGGAAGCTGCTACTGTGTAACCATTTGAGAATATGGTTATGTGTTATGACCCGTATGGATTTTTAAAGGAGATAGAAATCTCAATTTTTATATAAAATTGGTAACTAACCCAGTGATATTTTTAAATATTATAGACACACAAAACTGGACACTATGCACAGTCCTCCAGTTCATGACTTCTCCTTCAGATACTTGCTCAGCCCTGGCTTAAAAAATATAATTCTCACAGTCTTAAAAGTCCTACTTGCAATTAGGAAAGATGAGCCAGCAATATAAGTTGATGTTTGAGAATTAATTGTGGAAACTTTTGATAACCATATCAATGCATTACAAAAATAGTCCACTCTAAGTAGCGTTGGGAGATAATTCTTCATGAGTCTCTCACGTTTCTACATATCTTGTGAGCAGAGACATTGACAGCCTTTGTTTCAGACAATCTGTTCAGGGATGCTTGTATAGCAAACAGCCTTGGAAGATAGATATGGGGTGTCTCTCTAGAGCAATGCTAACTTCCCATCACAAAACATTCAGGTTTCCTATTCTCGGGGCTCCTCCTATGTAGTGCAAACTACTGCCTTATTTGTGTCACTCTGTGAGAATTGTACTCAGGGAACCAGTGAAAATGGTAATACTCTGGCAATTGTTACTGTTGTGAGTACTAATTCCTGGGTCTCTGACCCAAGAGTTTCGTGTCTTCCACCAGCATCTATAAAAGAGTGGCAGACTAACATGTTAGGTTGCAAACAGTGTAAAAATCTCAGATTCTTCATAGTTCTTGACAATTGATAGTTTTTCTTGCACTCTAAACTCTGGCTACAGCAGCTACTCTAAAATCAACAGCCTAGTGTTGATTAAAAAAATGGCAAGCAATAGGATACAGTGGAGCATATGAGGAAGCCATTTGGTATAAAACTAATTGAGTCTGACTTTGTTTTTCCAAAAGGGCCCATGGCCTTTGAGTATGCATTTTATATTTGCTTTAAGCAATTAACATGTCCCAAAGACAAGAGCAAATGCCCTTAAGAAAAGGATGCAACTTTCCCCACACTGGCATTTCCTTAAGGATAAGCATTTCTACCTAGGCAGGATTTGATTGCTGTGCTCATCCTGTGACTACCCAATTTATGACAGCAGATCTGATACCTGCTGTGTCCATCAATTGCTGTGCTGACAGGGCAATCTTGTGACTATTGTAAAAGGGACATTGCAATCATATGTGATACATGCTCTTCGACAGTATATAATTGTTCTGTACACCCCAACTTCTTTGGAGTGCTCTATTCCTTTGTGAAAGGACTCTCCCAGGCTATATGGTCCTTAAATTTGGCTCATGATAAACTCACCCCAATTTTGCTTTATAGATTGGTTATGGATTATTTGTGTCAACAGTGTCTTCTTCAATACTGTTTGGCACATTTCCCTAAATTAGTATATCTCCAACTTGCTTTTGAAAGTACAACATTGCCTTATTCTCCATCAAATCAAAACTCCCATCATTTCAAACACCTAAATCTCTTTCTATCTCATTGTTTTTACCTATTTTAGGCTTCCACCTTCACTTTCAGACAATAGTTTGGTGCTTAGTAATAAAACAAAATAACTAAGCAAGCAGACTGTCAAGCTATACTGCCTGGGTTTGAAACTGTGTTTTGCCATCTACTGGCTGTGTTACTTTGGACAAGTTACTTAACCAACTAGTCCCTCCATTTCCTTATCTATAAAATGAAGATAATAATAGTAACTAACTCCCAGCATTATTTGAAAACTAAATGAGTTTATGTATTCAATTTACTTAGAATAGTATGCGGTACACAGTAAGAATGCAATAAATGTAACCGATTGTTACTTAATTGAATATTTCTTCAAAAAATTCAGTTAAGAGTTGACCTTAAATGCAAGTTGTTTGCTATTTACAATCTAACTCTGTCACTGGGAAGCAGAACAGTCAATAATTTAGGGCTGTGTATACGCTTGGGCTTTTCCAAATTCAAATCCTCAATAGTTTAGTAAAACATATCATTTCCATAGGATTTCCTTTTTGAAAAAACAAACAGCTCATATCCAAATCTTCTACAAATGATATGAAAAACCAAGACCCAAACCCTCTCCAGTCAAATTCTAAATGTACAAAGATACTAGAAAGTGTTTTAAAACTGCCAATCAACTCTTCCATAGATGACCTTGCTCACTCAGGATGCCTAACTATCATCACAGAAATATTAGCAGTTTTCTTCACAGTCTTAATCAAAAAGTCAACTCATCCAAATATTACTTATCTGAAGCAGTGTTTCCATTGGTGTTTTCACTGTGCTATGGCATTTCTCTTAACGGTCTCAAATAATATCCCCTGATTTTCTAAGAGGTGTCCTTTCTATTTTTCTAAGCCTGCGACAATTAAAATAAAAATTCCAAAGGGATAAAATGAAAGAAGAAAAGCTACAAAAATCTGACTTGATTTTCCTACATTTTCCCCCTCCCTATTTCCAAGCAGCTAATCCCCTCTCAAATAGTACAATAGAACAGCGAGACATAAAGAAAAGGAGATAAAACTGGCCAGCCAGTGCATTGTTCTTGCTAATCTGCACCATTTACATAAGGGTTAGAAGGCTTGTTTTATCATTTAAACAGGCTTAAAAGCCTCTTTGCAAATGAGATTTACTTCCTACAAAGGAATGAATTCTAGCTATTGGGTGAGTTTCTGCTAGACCAGCACTGGGAGCTGACTTGGCACTAACTTAAGCTACGTCTTTGGCCACATACAGCATATGCAAAGATTGCTTCCAGCTGCCAAAACTGCAAAGCCTCAAGCTGATTAAATTCTTTCCAGGAGGTGAACAGGATGAGGAGCAGGTTAAGAGGCCAATAATATCAGATCTTACACTATACCTGGATACACTCATCCCTTATGCAGGTGCTTTAAAAGTGGCTTTGAACTTTTAGAGCCCCTTGAATCTTCCTTTGAAAGGGAACAGAAGGGGAGAAGAGCACATGAAATTCAGAGACAAAAAGACTTAATTAACATAGTCTCAAACTGTGAAGTGAAGACAATCTAAACTCTTTGATTCATTGTTGGTCCAAGTGGCACTGGGCACAAGGATAAACTGCATGACTCACTCCCTTGTCAATGTTAGCACAAAAGATAGAAGGAAAAGACTTTCTTTACACAAAGGACACACTTTGCATTAAAATCTTAGATTTTAAAAAGTCAAGATCACGTTTATATATACTATACCTATTATTTGTTTTACCTGGCACACCTTGAACAGATGTTCAGTGTGACCTTGGCCTGAGGTTCAGCAGGGTGAGTAGAACGACCTTGGTTAAATTTGCTCCCAGAAGGTACCAGGGTAGTTACTCCCTCCATTCTTAAATCATCAAGATCCTCTGTAACAATATAAACAATTACAGAGAAAACAATTAACTCTAATAGTATCAAGGAGAAAAGTTCATGTTTTCAGGTATCTGCCAGTAGTTTGGTAAGTAAAACATTGTATTTCTGCTTTGCAAAAATATTACCACATGCATCAATCATTTTTCAAATCATTCCTAGATGTAGTTGGAGACAAATTATATAAGATTTACAGGAGCAAAATGGTGAGAGACTGAATCCACTTGAACAATGGGTAGACCATGTGTGACTTTAGAACATGAATCCACCCCTCTGCTGTAACCATCCCGGGAAGCCAGACCACAATCTTGGCAGCAATTGGCCCAAAATGGTCAGGAATTGGCCAATGACTGCCAGCTTCCCTATTTTTGCCTTTGCTTCCAACTCAGAACCAACCAGAGAAAGACAAATGTGCTCCCAAACTAATTGCATAAGATCCTTTGCTGCTAATTAGTCCACCTTCAGCTTCCTCATCCAACAACCTCCAATCAGAACATATCTGAAGGCTTCTTTTTTTTCACTCTAAATCTTTCCTTTTTGTCTTCACCTGGGGAAGACAATAGTATACCTGGAGAGTCATGCCCTTGGGGCTCACTCAAGGCCCCTCCTATTTTTCCCAGGTCCTCAATCAAGACTTAAAAGATCTAAGTTTCTCTTGTAATGCAGTTCTGATACAATATGGACATGATCTCCTGTTTTACTCAGAGAACAAGGAATCTTGTAAAAGGAATCCATTTATTTTCTCTCAGCCTTAACAAAAAGGGACATATAGTTTCAAAAGATAAATTATAATTTTGCCACAATATAATCCATTATTGAGGTTATAACCTATATAAGGAGGGAAATCACTCTCTCCTGTTAAGGCTATAGACTATCCAAACATCTTAGATCCCTCACAAAACAATTGAGAGGATTCCTAAGTTTAACTGGATATTGCAAACAACAAGTGTCAAATTTTCCTGAGATTGTGACAACTCTTAGTGTAAATCATGAACAGGCCTTCTGCAATCTGAAGAAGGCTCGGCAACAGACTCCTTCCGCAGGCATCCCCAACTAAAGCTTCTTTTGCCTACTTGCACATGAGTAATCTGGATAAGCCCTTAGGCTTTAGTTTAACTCAGCTTCGTGGGAATCATCAAAAACTCACGGCCTTGACCTGGTTGCAAAGGCTTATTCCCTTGTTTTAGGGCAATAGCCACCACTTCAAAACTTGACGCTTCTGTTGAACTAGTTATAGGCTCCCCTCTTGATCTCATGGGTCCTCAGGCAATACAGACGTTACCACTGCCTGAGAACACATGCTTTTCAGCTAGCTAATTAACCTGAGCTTCTGTTAGTCTCTCCTTCTCACATTACTATTCACCTCTGCAACACCCTGATCTGCCACTCTTCTGCCCCTACCAAAAGAAGGGAACCCCAGTTTTCTTATTTCAGTTAGGGAACTTGCTGTACCTTACTCAGTGTTTTTAAGGACTCCCATTGAAAATTCTGACCTAATATTATCTGTTGATAGATACCTCAACCTTGACACTGGAGCAGAATATGCTATCACCAATTTAAGCTTGCCTTTAGAATACAATCCTCTACCTGAAGTAAAATCAGCCCAGATGGCAGAATTCTTGCACTTACTTGAGCTTCTTAACTAGCCCAAGACCACAGAGTCAATATATAAATACATATACAAGATATGCTTTTTTTTTTTTTAATATGACTTTAAGATGCTTTGGAAACAAATGGGTTCTCAACTCTGCTGGGACCCCCACCAAAAATGGATAAGACATTTAAGACAGTTTTGGATGCACTCCTACTTCATAAAGAGGTAGGTATTATAAAAGTTGGGGCTCATGAAAAAAGAAATAATATGGAAACTAAAGGAAATACTCTAGCAGTTCATTTTGCCCAACAAGCAGCCTTAACCAAGGTTAGGAGCCCATCTAAACTCTTAAAGAATTCAAAGAGACCGTTATAAAATATCCACATTTAGCTCCTTATTCTGAAAAGAAAAATAGAAAAAATACAGTTCCGGCTTCACTCAGATAATCGTTGGTACTCTCAAGACAGCCGCTTAGTGGCACTAGATAATTTCAAATGGATATTAGCTAAATTTCTCCATGAAACTACTCATTATGGTACAGATAAATTGGTACTATCTTAAATCAACATAGCTGGGGAAACTGTGAAAAGACAGTTGAGGTCATTTTTGAGTCTTGTGTCACTTGTCAAGACATAATTCTAGAAAAACTGTAAAGGTGGGATATGGCCAGGAACCAAAACTTAAGGGCCCTTTGAACACCTTCTGACAGATTTTATACAACTTCCACCCTCCATGAGATTTGAATATGTTTTAGTTATTGTATGTCTATGTTCAGGATGGATTGAAACATCTCTTTGCCAAAACGTCTTTACAATTGCTAAAAATGCTGCTTGATTTTGTGTTTCCAGTCTTGGGGATACAAATTTCTATATCAAGTGCCCAAGGCACACACTTCATAAGAAACATTAAAAAAGAACTTCATAGGGCAATGCCCCTTACTCAGAAACCATGTTGCTCTTACCACCTACAAACTTCTGGAAAGATAGGAAGAATCAATGACATCCTTAAAAAAAATTAACAAAACTTTCAGAAACCCTTGAGACCTCTTGGTCAAAGGTACTCCCACTTGCCTTTATGCTGGTATGGTCCGCTTAGTCACGCGTACACTGTTTATTTCCCTATGAACTGGTAAATGGAAGGCCCACGTGCTTAAGGAATTTACCTATGATACTATACTCTGCCCTGCTGTGCATAGACATTGCAAAATATTGCAAGAGACATGTACTATACCCAGTCCTATCACCAACAGGTTAAGGTCACGTTCAAAATACCTTCTTAAACAGCCTCTTTATGATATTCAACTATGAGATTTCATCTATCGGAACATACATCAGAGAAAAACTGCTCTTGAACTTCATTGGAAAGGATTCTATAGGATACTGTTAATCACAAATACATAAGTAAAACTCCCTTGAGTAAATCCTCGGGTTCACATTTCACAACTAAAGAAGCAATCCAGAATCAACAAAACAGGAAGCCTATTCTATCTAATAGGGAACCTCAAACAGGATTCTCAGAGATTCTCTAGAAGCAGCTCTTCTTTACAGATGACCCAAGACCTTCAGAACAATCTGATGACCTCAGATAGCAGACAGCTTCTGCCCAAGATGTTGGATCATAACTCCTGACTAGTTCCTATTTTGTTGTTCATCTGCTTACTTACAATCATTCCTCTCATTTTCTGTATTCCCCTGGCTGTCACCCACCCATAATGATCCTTTTTCTCTTTTGCCCTTTTAGTAAAATTGCTAAATCAGAGTAGAATCATTCTAACTCCAATCTCAGATTATCCAGCTAATATAAGGCCTTGGTTCCAATATCATGTCATGAACAATTCCTTTCTTACTGGATACGTAGTGTTCCTACCCAACACTACTTCCTTTGCAGCCAGGATGGCTAGTCTTGCTTGCTTCATACTAATATCTCATGCACTTTAGGGCGGTATTACAAAACTTATCTGCACATAGACACCCTAATTCTATAAATTAGTAAAGCTGGAAATTATATTTCAGATGCAAGCTCCAACACAAGGCTACCTTTGATTATTCAGGCACTTTACCTGGGGGAGTAACTGATCCATTGTTTATGCAAACAATCAAAGCAGTGTTTCCAATAATAGGAATCATACAAACAAAAGACTGTAAGACATGTATCATTTTAACTCCAGCAAAAGCTATAAATGATACCACCTCTACCCTAGATGGAATACAGATCAGTCTCAATTCTTTGGCAAGAATAGTGATGGATCTAGATTTCTTGTTGACTAATAATGGTAGTATCTGTGCCATTGCTAATACTTCTTGCTTTGCTTGGCTCAATGAAACAGGTAAGGTAGAAAAGGCTATATATTGCCTTAAGAAAAAAGCTACTTGGGTCTCTAAGGTTTATGCTTATGACCCGTGGGATTGTTCTCTTGGCCTTGGTTGGACAATTCAGATTCTTGGTTCTGAAAAATCTTAAATGGATTTTAATTGTTCTTGTTTTTGTCATAGTGGTCATGATGTCAGTCCACTGAATTCTATCATCTTAACTCTTAATCTTAATGCTTAATTCAGGTCTTAAATGCTTCCATGCAGCCACTTTCTCATCAGATGATCACCGTGATAATACAACATCAAAAAGATTAAGAAACTCTTGTGACACAATTGACTATGAAGACAAGAGAACAATCATCAAGCAGTGAAGATCTGGATTTCTAGTCTTACCTTTTGGCCAACTTCCTGCAAGGAAGAGAATGGCCAAAAGAGGAGACTGAGAGTTTGAATACACAGACAATGGACAGATCATATATGTCATATATGACATTACAACATTGACCCACAACTTCCGCTGGAATCACCCAGGCAAGCCGAACCACAACCTCTGCAGCGGTTGGATCAAGACATTCAGGACTTGGTTAATAACGGCCAGCCTCCCTCCTTTTGCCCCCATTTCTAACTCAGAAGTAACCAGAGAAAGCCCAGTATGCTCCCCAAACCAAGTGCAAAAGATATTCTGCTCCTAGTGAGCCTGCCTCCAGCTTCCCCATGCCAACAACTTCCAATCAGCATATACCTCAAGCCCTCCTCTGTTTTTTTTCATTATAAAGCTTTCCCACTTCCCTACCTGCCTTTGGGTCTCTGACAAATGCAATGATGGTAGCTGACTCCTTTGCTATAAGAAGCTCTGAATAAAAAGCTCCTGCTTGTTCTCATTTGGTGGTCTTCATTTATTCCATAACGGCACCCTTCAAAGATCTAAAGTTTTGTCATACAGAAGCGTTATCAGAGTTTCCCCTGCAAGTCCAGAGAAGAAATGGGTCTAAGGAGAGGGAAGCACATTTCTGAGTCAACATAGAAACCTTCTAACATTTACAGCTGTTCCAAGTCATATTGTACAGCACTGTGTGGGAGATGTGAGCAC